AGGTGGCCATCCGACAGCTCCCGTGAGCCAGCGGTGTGCAGCGGCTCCTGCCGACAGCACCCAACCCACACCGGCCAGTTTCGCATTTATTCAGATGGACATAGTCTAAAACAACTATACAGACAGCTAGCTGTGCTGGGTCAGACCAAGGATCCATCCACCCTGCAGCCAATAGCAGCCACCTTGGAAAGAGCAGAAGAGGGTGAGCCTATAATGCATGAAACGCCCACCACATGACATAGCTCCAGGACTTAACTTTAATCTAAAGTGAGTTAGCGTATTAGCCAAAAAATTCATTTTCCCAAATAACTGCAACAACACTTTTCAAGTTTCCTGCCCCACCCCACAGAGAGCAATCAGTTGGATCGCTTCTGTCTTCCTGCTATTTAATACCATTTTATATCATAGAATCCTAGAATGTTTCAGGTTGGAAGGGCCCTCAAAGCCCCCCCAGTGCCCCCCCCTGCCCCGGGCAGGGCCCCCTTCCCCCAGCCCAGGGGGCTCCCAGCCCCGTCCAACCTGGCCTTGAACCCTTCCAGGGAGGGGGCACCCACAGCTGCTCTGGGCACCCCGGGCCAGCACCTCACCTCCTTGACATATTCAGGCAACTTGATTAAAAAAGGAATTACAGTTGTTTCATTGGCCTTGGCACCTGCCCTCCCCTCCCCCAAATATAAAATTTTACTGTATCTGATGAAAAGACTTGTTCAGAAGGATTCTTGTGCAGTACAATCTGCAAAAGCTACTGAGTATCTTGTTCCAGGTTTACACAGTCATAGTCCCTATTTGTTAAGGGATTAGCGTTCAACAGCTACAGTTGCACAAGCCACAGAGCTAACAGCTGTGTGCAGCCACATACCACAAATATAAGATTATTCCACACAGAGCAAACAAATAGGAGGCATCTCGGACTTCTAAGGATATTTATCAAGTGCTCAGTGTAGAGAACAGCTCCTGAATTTGAGCTCTGGCAAGAAAATACCCAAATTATACAACGAGCCAAAGAATCTGAAATACTTGGTAATGCAGCTTCACTCTAAGTGGATATAAGTTTTATTTTGTGTTTTAAATGCATGAATAATATGTGGACTGCAACTGCAAAGCTACCTAGCCCCAAGAAATCAGGAGTTCCTTGCAAATCATCTGCTAACAAGGATAGGTGTTCCCTTTAGCACCACTTCCTTTTCCAGCTTGGAAAAAAGCAGAAGACAGAAGGGAGGAAGCATGGGGGGGGAAGGGAACACTCCTAACACCTTGATAAATCCACAAGACTCTTACAACACTGGAGGAACTGAAAAGGGAGCTTAAAAACGACGCTGCTAAATCGTTTTGCATTGCACATCTCCTTTATAAACTCCACAGGCAGGCTAGGAAGCACCCAGACCTGGCCAGCAGCTCTGGAGCTGGCTCAGAGCCGTGTCCAGGTGGCTCCTGAGTTATCTCCAAGGATGGAGCCTCCACCACCTCTCTGGGATACCTGCTCCAATGGCTAACAACCTCAAAGTAAATAGTATTTTCTTATGCGTAAGCAGAATCTCTTGTGTTTCAGCGTGTGTCCGTGGGCTCATGGCCTGTCACTGGGCACCTGCTGAGTGGTGAGCCCAGCTCAGGTCTCTTTACACCCTCTCTTTGTATATTTGTGTACGGTGGTAAGCTCTCCCGAGCCTTCTCTTCTCCAGGCTGAACAGTCCCAGTTCTCTCAGCCTTTCCTCCCAGGAGAAATGCTCCAGTCCCTTCATCATCTTCATGGCCCTTTGCTGGACTTCCTCGACTAATTCCATGTCCTCCTTTTACCGGGAAGCCCAGCACTGGACCCAGCACTCCAGGTGTGGGCTCACCAGTGCTGAGCAGAAGGGAAGCATCACCCCGACCTGCTGGCAACCCTCTCCCTAACACAGCCCGGGGTGCTGGGGACAGTCGCTGCCATGAGGGTTGAGGTGGCTCCTGTCCTGCTTGGTGTCCAGAGGGGCCTGTTCTGCAAAGCTGCTTTCAGACACCTGATCCCGAGCCAGGGTTATTCTTCCTTTTGTGTTTCCTTGTGTCGAACCTCACGAGGTTCATCTCTGCCCACGCAACCATCCGGTGTACCAGCCACTCTTTCCAGTTTTCATCCAGCCACTCTATCCAGTTTTCCACTTTCTAGCTCACGATACATGAAGTTTCTATCATCTCCAAACTTGCCGAGGGTGCAGTCCACCCCATCACCCAGGTCAACAGTGACGTCAGACCTCCAGCTCAAACTAAGAGGAAATCTTGAAGACCTCAACCCCAAACTAACCTTCCAATAAATATTTCAGTGTCCTGTGCATGGATATCCTGTCAGAGTTCAGTCTTACCACACTGAAACGCTCGAGTGTAGGAGGGCTGCACTCTGGAATAGCTTTGACCCAGTTAGTAATGCCATTTCTCAAGCCAGAATTAACACCTAGTCAACAGCAGTTAACACAGAACTGGAACTGAAACATCCCTGAAAATTCCTTCGAAAGAAGGAACACCTTACCCAAAGCACAGTCCAATTTTTTGCCAAGGTACACTTGCTGTCAAAGAGCGTCACAGTATTTCTATAAACCCTGTCTCTCCTAGGGCCATGACACGCTTTTCCAATGAGTTACTCAAACTCATTATTCCCTTTGTGTTTGGTGGTATCTGGGACAAATTTCTGCAGTCCAAGGTAATCAATAACTGCTGAATCTCAGATACCAGCACCGAGCAATGCAGACACTTCCACTAATACACGGTTAGAAGTAACTAATCTGCCAAAGACAACCTGGTTTGAAGCTTCAAGGAATATATGAAGAGTGATTATATATATAAAAGTGCCTCATTTTGTACATAATAGAGTCCCCCCCCCCCTTTCCTGTCCCCCCTTTAAGCCCTGGGAGGCCGCTCGAAGGGCTCCCCGGAGCCTTCTCTTCTCCAGGCTGAACCCCCCAACTCTCTCAGCCCGGCCCCCCAGGGGAGCTGCTCCAGCCCCCCCAGCATCTCCGTGGCCTCCTCTGGCCCCGCTCGAGCAGCTCCGGGTCCTTCTGCTGTTGGGGGCCCCCGAGCTGGCCCCAGCACTGCAGGGGGGTCTCCCCAGAGCGGAGCAGAGGGGGACAATCCCCTCCCTGGCCCTGCTGCCCCCCCTGCTCTGGCTGCAGCCCAGGGCACGGGTGGGTTCTGGGCTGCCAGCGCACGGGGCTGCCTCACGGTCAGTTTTCCCCCCACCAGCCCCCCCAGTCCCTCTCCTTGGGGCTGCTCTCCAGCCACCCCTCGAGGGCCCAGCCTGGGTTTGTGCTGGGGATTGCCCCGACCCACGGGCAGCACCTTGCCCTCGGCCTTGCTGAACTCCATGAGGTTTGCCTGGGCCCCCCCTCTCCAGCTTATCCAGGCCCCTCGGGATGCCACCCCTGCCCTCCCCCGTGTCCCCCCACCACACAGCTCCATGTCATCGGTGAACTCGCTGAGGGTGCATCAATCCCACTGTCAGTGTCCCCAACAAAGACATTAAACAGCACCAGGCCCAACACTGACCCCTGAGGAACGGCATGTGTCACTGCTCTCCACTTGGACATTGAGCTGTTGACCACAACTCTTTGAGTACAACCAACGTTCAGGACAGATACAAGTTCTGACCTAGTGGGCACAAGGTTCCCAAGAAGAATGAGGGGATCTAATCCTAGATCAGATTTCTTCCTGTCCAGGAAATCCTAAATTTAGGAAAGGGAATAAGCATGCAGTTTTTATTTTGATCTCTCTCAAAAGGTAATATTTATATAGATAAACATTTTATACTGAAGCAGTTGTCTTGCATTCCTGCATTTACCCCAGAAACAGCACCTGAAAGATAATTGAAAATAGAAGCCTAATACCACTGGAAGCTCTGATGAAGCACTTAGTAACCAAGATTGCTGGGGCACGGTGATCCAGGACTCATGGTGGAACTCTGCGTTGGCTAATAGCCATCCTGACATGTGAAAGCAGCACCCAGCAAAACTGGAGTCAAAAAGTAGAGCTGTTACTTGCAACCATATCAACAAAGATCAACAGAACAGAGTCCACTTGCTTGGGTCTTGCAGAAGTTTCGTATTTCTACAGAACAAAAGATCTGAAAATAAAACTATCATCGTTGACAGTTACAAGAACTCATAGGAAGCAGTGAAGAATCAGGAAAGCAATGCCTCGATTGCTGCTCACAACCTTGAAGAGTCATAGTCATGAGAAGCAATCTCACAGGCTTTCAGTACAATAAAACAACCACTCTGATAACCTTTTAGCTGTAGACATGAAAGAAGTCTGTCTTATCCTCAGCAATGCTCAAAGAAAAATTTACATCTGTATCAACACAGGCAGAGCTTTTCTGAAAGCAAAGGAGTATGTCATCACACAGGATTTATTTTGACCAAGAGACAAGACACTTAGAATTGAAATCTTGAAGAAAAAAATCTGTATATGCATACACATGTGTCTGTACACAAATCTGATCACAAAAGTTCTCAACTCCAGTAGTAACAATGCCTCACGGGAAACTATTAAGAGGCCCATTTAACATTTCTGAGAGTGAAATTATATTCAGTTGCAACTCATATCCAAATTAGAGTCCAGTAAAGAATTCACAAGAACACACAACGCATGCGTGCCAAGGCAAGGGCTGAAAAAGCAGAGTACAAGCTTAAGGCAGAACAGAATAGGCAAGTATGGGGAGAAAGATCAACCTTCCTTCTCCCCATTTTTAATTCATGGTTTTGGAGTCCACCATCAGATGTTGGGGGATTACTTTATTTATTGTTTTACTTCACTTATTCAATTAGTTTTTGTTATTTACTTATTAAACCACATGAAGATACTTCTTCCCTATCTTTTTTGTCCCACAAAGAGATGACAAAAATCTATTAAGTTTTAAAAAAAGACCTTCTGGGATAGCCCACAAGACAGGGAAACATGGGCACGTTCATGGCATTGCTACGAAAACCCCACAAATCAGCAGCACCCCATGACAACACGTACTCTGTGTGACTTACCAGCAGGCCAGAATACAGAGACCAGTAAAGAGGATGATGGGGATGGGGTAGGAAGCACACAACAGCCCGTGGTTGTAGAACGCCCGCGATATCCTCTCGCGCAGTTTTTCAGTCAGGGTCATCCTCAACTGTCGTCACCTAGTTGCCATCCCGGAATACATCAGGGGGTCAGGCAATTCCAGCATGTGCAACACTTCAGCAAAGGCACTGAATCCAGCTAGAAATCGGAGAGAAAAAAACTCATGAGAAAAATCAATACAAGGAAAACAAATATTACCGACTTGTTTTAGAAAGACTCCCAGCATTGCACCGCCTCAGAAGAAAGGGGAGAAACAGAAACCCCACACCAAGAACTTGGTAGGAGCCTACAGGCAATTTGATCAAATGACTGGGTTTTGCCTAGGGGAAGGAAGGCAGGAAACAGGAGCAGAGAGCCAACATGGGCTGAACAGACGTCAGGCCCCGCTGCCATGAGCTGCTGGTCAGGGAGGACACGCAGAAGCGGAGCTAGGAACCAAACTGTCTGAAAGGAAGGAAGAAAAGGAGCTTAGCAGTAAAAGAATTAAGCAGTACTCCGAGGAGATGCCAAAATGCCAATTAGAAAAGAAGGATTGAGGCTAGCTGTCGTGCAGCGTGGTCTAAAGGGAAGTGCTCTTGGACACAGACTGAAGCACTTTCAGTGCTTTAGCTATTAGCAAACCACCAGTAGCAAGAGAAGAGACCAGAACAGGCTTTATGGCTCAGACAATCTAAAGAAAGTTAGTTTTGCATGAGGGAGGGAAGTATAAGCAGCCACAGTTTGGAAGACTAAGAGTACACCACACAGTAAAATAAACTAGTGCCGGTATTTCTCGTCAAAACATACTTTGACTTGGCTGTACGACTTACGACCAGGCTGTTCACCGAGTGCAAACCGAATTGCAGGTGGCAGAAGTGGTCACCTTAAGCTTGCAATTCGATTAACAAAGTATAAAAAATGCAATATAAAAAGCCCTAAGTAAAGGTTGAGATAATACACTAAAACAAAGCACAAACCACATTTCTAGGAAAGATAGAGCAGAAGAAACCTACCCTCTAACCTTTTTTTAAATCTCAGGCTAAATGCAAAGCATGTGGTTCACAACACTTCTGAGAAATCAAAGGTTTGAATGCAAGACAGGTTTTTTTTCATACAGTTCAAAGCTACCATTATCCAAGATTTTTTATATTTTTATCTGGGAGGAAATAAATACATTTTTCCTGGCTTTTCCAGAATAAGACTGAGACAATAAAAGACCCAAAGCATATGAAATAAGTCATTTTGTCCACAGGAAAACACCATTAATGATTGCACCAGAGAATTCAATACAAGACCTGAACCCAGGCTACCCATTAAAACCAGCTGGTGATTTGACATTTTGAACAACTCCCCCTCACCATCCAAAATGTAGAGAATAGTAGAGAAGGTACGACAGGTTCACACAGGCAAGAAATCCATTCAGGGTTTTTATACATATCTGGCTTAGGAATTCTGCAAACCCAAATATTTAGAAGCTGAGGGAGGTATCACAGGTGCTGGTTTTCTATATTCCTTCCTAAGCATCCACTTTCAGCTATATGGCAGAGAGTGTATGAGGGAAGACAAACCCTTAGCACGGCCATTACACTTTTAATTTCAGATGAAATTCTATTTAGTGCCCACAAGACTAGTTTACAACAATTTCCCTATTTTTTACCCCTCAGTAATGCAACTAAAAATAAATCAGATTTTTAGCAACAGAAGCACCAGCCTAATGACCAAATGGAAAACCTGGATAAATATTTTTGCTCATACCTTTTAGCAAGGCACTACATCCTTCCATAACAATCAACATCTCTTTCTTAGTCGTAGGCAATTTCAGCTTCCCTGCAGTCCAGCACCAGTGTGAATGTTCTGGGATTTTGGGAGAGGGGAGGGATGAGAAGTGTGCTCCTGCTGCCTGGAGACCTTGCAACGCAAGGGGTGAGGCTAACAAGCCAGCCAAAACCCTACACACCGCATTCGTGCACAACAGAGAGGTTTTGTCTTACAGTCACACAGAGAACCTAAAATATGGTACTCCTCCAAGGAACAGATGTACGGCATATAGGAATACGTTTAGAAATTGTAGAGATTACATCAGAAAAAGCTCAGGTTTTAACCTTTGGCTTGTTTCGGTCCAGTAGCAAATACGACCTGTTTAAATCAAGTCCAAGGCAAATGTAAAAAAAACACAAAAACAAACAAACAAAAACCAAACAAAACAAAAACCACACAAACATATATATATATATATATATATGTGTGTGTATATATACACACACAAAATTGTTTTTAAACAAAATTGTTTTTAAAGGTGCACTGAAATCACTAGAAACATGGCTTTCTATTCTAGGTCTCAGAAGTGAGTAGAGAAGCAAATTTTAATTTAAAATTTCAATGACAAAGCCCTCTTCCAGAGCTGTTCACAGAGCAGGAGATAATGCAGAAAATCCCTGTGTACACAAGCCTACTACTCAGAACATGCCACGGAAAACAATAATAAATAAATAGCTTTTGAATATATGGCAGTAACCAAACTCAAAAACCACACTCCGTGTTAACAGAATTGGAAAGGAGGTTGCAAGTAAGTATGTTGGAACTGAAAAATTCAGGGCTTCATCTCGCTGGTGATTTTTCTCAGCATGAGTCTTGCTAAAGCACGTTATGTTGGGGCTCACAGGGACAGATCATATCCCTAATCTAAGGGCAGAAGACAAAAAGCAAACATGAAATAATCCTTAAAACCAAAACCAACACTGAGCACACTACAAAACCCGGTTTTCAGCAGGCAGGTGCCATGGCTGTCCCATCGTAAAAGATCTGATCCCTTGGGACAGGACACAAACTAACCTGATTGTCCAGCCTAAGCAAGCAGAGAGGGGGGAAAAAATTACCATGCTTCATATCAGCCCCATTTACAATAAAGTTTATGAATGCTGCAAGTGCAAGAATTGAAATTAGGAGAAAAGCTTCAAGCACCAGAAGGCAGCTGGACTAGATGATCGCTGTAGGTCCCTTCCAACTGAAATGTTCTATTCCAACCTGTGATAGAAGTGGCAAAAACCCCCCAAGTTTAGACTACTTAAAAATTTGACTGGATATGCATAGCATACACAACATAAAGCATAGGTCAAACATGAAGAAAAACTCCTGTCCCTGCGAGATGGCATCACCACGGCTCTCTGACCAGCCTCACCTTCCAACAGCAATTTTGGTTATTAGCATTGCACTGGGAACTGCTTCTATAAATGCAAAGAGGAAAAATTCTTCATGTTTGCTTGCTTCACCTGATGTGAAATATCAGCATTCATTAAGAAGAAAACATTAAGCATTCCAGAGCTAATATTTGCTTATTAGTTTTTTGGGGGTTGCATATTGAATTCTGAAATCTTTATTAACTGTATGCTACAATGCTCATAAAAGTTAAAAGCAGGAACCACTCCTATTCAAAGCAATGTGTGCAAACAAAGATTAGCTAACTCAAAATAAACCCTCCGATTTTAGGACAAATGTTAAAAGAGAATCCATTCAGAGCATTTCTTTCCTTTTGCATGACTGCAAATCCAAGACAAAGTTGGACTGGAAACAAGAGGAGTTTCAGGGTGTTTCCTTAACTTTGTAATACAAGACATTGCATTTCTGGTTCACTTCAGGTACCTGAGACAGATACACAGTGAAGTTCAGAGATAGATCACAGGAAACAAAAGCAAACAGCAGGCTTGAAAGAGCAAGGTTTGGCTTTTAAAGTCTCTTAATTTCCAAATTAAGCAATTGCTTAGGCTCTCTAGTCCTTCCTTCCATTTACAGAGGTGTAAATCTTTATTATTGCCAGGATTACACAAATTCAGCTGTACACGAGTGTGACTCCAGTTAAGATGCCTTCCCCTCCCCACACACACATCCAGTTCCAAGGTTTCACGTAGTCACGGCACTTCCCACGGTAACTATTACCCAGGGGCTGGCTGGGGGAGCGTGGGGTGGACACCCTGCACCGAGGTTACTCACCCACACCTCCAGAAACAGATTTTTCAGTGTAGCCTTGCAAATGTTTCCTATGAGATGCAACACAATGCTAAGGCCACAAATCTGTTACAAGCTGGAAATTCAGCACTGCAGCCAGAAAACAGAGTTCAGGGGATAACAAATCCGCAACATCTGGGCGGTTACAGAAGAGTGAATTAACCTACCTTATAAGCTGAATCTTTTCCCCCATTCCTGTGTTACACAGAGGAGAAAACGCAACTGCTGAAACAATCCGATTGCCGGAGTCTAACCAGTAACTTGCTGCCAAGCACAGCAGATTACACCGTGTGTGGGGCTAAGTACACTTCCCAGTCCGGGTGTTACAGACAGGCGTGCTCACCTCGGCTCAGCCGGGCACGCACACCACAGCTCAGCTGCTGAGAAGGTCCTGAACTACCTCCTGAAAATCCCGACAGCCTTGATGGGGTAGCAGGAGCCAGGTGAAGGGGACACACCAGAGCCGGGGTCCCCCACTGCCGCCCCACGTCCCTCATGTCCCAGCCCACGGGAGCTGTGCCATCTCCCCCAGGCAGTTTCAGGCCTGGCTCTTGAGCCACACAGGTCAGAAAACCACAGTGCTCCTCAGCTGGAATGCTGTTTCCCTCTGAAGCAATTTCCCTCACCCACAGACAGGAAGGGAAATATGACCAAAAACTGATTTTTTTTCTGACACCACACTGTAAACCACATCTTTGTACTTTTTGGGGTGTACTACACCCTCTGACACACACACACTTGCAGGTGAGTTTCCCGAGTAGCCAGAAACTCTTCTCATACCTAATGCTGCAACTCCAGAAAAAGGGTTTCTACCATCTCGTGAAGAAAAAGCAATCATTTATTTGCTATTCATTCACAACACGAGACAGGCAGAGAGCATATCAAATGCACACAACACTCTTAAAGCCCCAAGGCCCTTGTTTTCCAAGCTGATCCTTATCCTGATTAGAAAGTGTGTTATGTTATATACCACTTAATCCATAATATGCACCATGCTGACTACTATAAAAAAAACAAAGCAACTTTTCAACTGGAATTAAGCACCAGCGCTTAACGGCACTGCTCCTTGCCTCACCAGCCTTCCCTGCTGTCCCCCCAGTATACGCCAGCACAGCAGCTCTTTACCCAAATCCCTCATGAAATTGGGTTCTGGCTCG